AAAAAATTTTGTTTATTTTTTTTATGAGATTTCACTCAAAGGGTCAAAAAATCGCTAAATTAGGTAGAAAAGTTCATTATTTTGCCTTTTTTGGTTCTTTTTGTACGTTTTTTTATCCAGAAACAGAATTATTTTATAAAATTTCGTTAAAAACAAACCAAATTAGGCCCAAAAACACGCTATTTTTGCATTGTGTTTAAGTACATTTTCGAAATAATTATAAATTTTTTTTTTGTTTTTTGACCAGAGACTTATTTATTTTCCTAGATTATGTCAAAACATGACTAAAAATTACAAGAAATAAATATAACGTAGTTTCGCTTATTTACTTTGATTTAGTTCATTTTGAGTAAAATTTTATGAAAAAATAAATCAAAAAATACTAATTTTGGTCGAAGATGGTGTTACTGGACCTTTTCAAGTCTTTATATCGAACTAAAATCTGTTTGTTTCGAGATTTTGCTAAAATAAACCACAAAAAAAACACAAAATCAATTTTCCCCATTTTTTCGTCAAAATTAGTTGGCAACATTGAGAAATGCAAAATGGCAGAGCAGGTTTCTGTATTATCAACAGTGCCAATTTCCTAACTGTCATAAAAACTGTCAGACGTCAAAATTTGACGTTGACGTTTCTGACTTTTTGACATTGTCAGTGTCATTCATCCTAGATTTTTGGTTATGTTTCCTATTTTTGACATTGTCAGTGTCATTCATCCTATTTCAAAAGCAGTGTTGTCAGGTCTTGTGAAATGTCACCATTTTTGGTGATTTTTATGCTTAATTTAATGATTTTTTTAGAAATGTAACTGCAATGTCAGCAAAAATTATGTATTTTTAGCATTTTTGCACGTTTTTACCCAAGAACTTGAATTATTTTGTGAAAGTTTCTCAAAAACAAGTCGAAAAATCACGTTAAGAAAATAATTTTGTTTGTTTTTTAAATGAGATTTCAGTCAAAGGATCAAAAAATCGCTAAATTAAATAGAAAAGTTTATTATTTTTCCTTTCTCGGAACTTTTTAGTACGTTTTTTAGTCAGAAATAGAATTATTTTATAAAATTTTGGTAAAAACAAAAAAAAATTGAAAATTGAAAATAGCTCAAATTAGTTTAATTTAGAAAAACTCTTATTCAAGCCAGTATTTGGTTGAAACACTTTGATTCAGGTGGATTCCTATTTTCAAATTGAGCCAAATCGATTGAAAATATCACAAATTGCTTTATTTTAGCCTAAAATTGAGATTGAAGAAATTATTTTTATAAAATACATTAATTACGTTATTTTTGCATTTTAGAGTGTTTAAGGACATTTTCAAAATAATTACAAAGTTTTTCGAAAAATTTTGCTAAAACTGGCTAATAATTTACAAAATTAGATTGAAATTGATATTATTTTAGTTTGTTTTTCTCGATTTTGTTTGTTTTTCAACTAGAGACTTATTTATTTTGCTAGATTATGTCAAAACATGACTAAAAATTTTGAGTAAAACCTTGTCAAAAAATAAATCGAAAAACACTAAATTTGGTTGAAAATGGTGTTACTT